GAGCCGGCTGTGGTTTAGAGTTTGCCGTTCATTGCAGATGTTGAGCAGCTTCGATCGATGAATGTTTTATTCCTGACAGCCTCGGATTCACGGTGTCGTAAATCTGCACAGATGTTGCCACAAGTTTTCGGTTTCATTGTGGAGACTTTAAATGCTCCGCAGAGTGGGGGGGGGTAATTAACGTTAGGGTTAGGGTTAGAGGTGTTTCCACCAATCGCAGTACAAATATTGGCCTCGTGCTGGTTTACTCGCGGGGTCGTTAGTGTTTGAGCACGAACAGATGTTTGTGTGATTTAATGTCAATAAACGGATCCAGATGATGCGGAAATAACAACTTCATGATGGCGATTTGTAAAAACTCTGAATTCAGACTGTGGGTCCGTCTGCAGGAAGACGAGCTAACTTTTAAAATGCTTGTTTTCTGAATAGAGTTTGGTTGATCAGAGCTATGCTAACGTAGCTCATAGTGAAGTAAAAACGCCCAGATGACGTCTTTACATTGACTTTAAATGAATCTACTCACACCAACAATCTTATCCCGCTCTGGGGAACGCAGCGTTACTGTTGTCTGAGGGATTGTTCACATCGTGGTCTAAAGAACTGGTTCCCAACCCGGGGCTCAGGACCCAACTAGGGGTCGACAAACCTTCACAAGAGGGTCGCAGGGCCTTCTTGATTTATTTTAAGGTGTGTAAAAACACTGAATATGCACAATAGGCCGATTTCTCAGTTTACATAATGCAGAGAGAGAATCAGGAAAACTCATCTCTGATCAATATTCACGGGAAATAAGTCTTAATTTCCGTATTACTCACCGATATTAAAGGGAAAGGTCGAACTGCGGATGTGAACACAGACGGAGTTTATTGTGAAGTTTTTAGGAAACTTGTGACGACATTAAAATCAGCAGAAACACAAACGCTGCAGTTTTTCTACTAAAGTCTGTGGACACGCTGCGCTTCTTCTGAAAAAGACTGTTGTTGTTGTTGTTGTTGTTGTGTTTGTTGTTGTTGTTGTTTCTGATGCTAGCTGAGCTCTGTGGTTGCCACGGTAACCTGACTCTCCCCCGACTGTTGCTGCCGAGCTGCAGGTTGTCGCTGTTGTTGCTCTTATTGTTGCTGCGGAGCCGAAGCTCCTCGTGATGACGTGTTTCTACGCTTCTGTGTGTGACGACGAGGCTGCTGACTCACATCCTGGGGGCGTGGTCACTTCCCGGCGGCGTGGTCACTTCCCGGCGGTGTGATTTCCCAGCCTCAGTGGTGACGTAAACGCAGCACTAAGCCATCGTGTTCGACTGTTCTCTCCTTTACAGCATGACTCTATTTTTCTATCAGAGCCGACGTGTTTTTATCGTGTATAAAGTTGAAAGAGCGACGAAGCCTTAAAGATTTGAGCAGAAGAAGAAAGATCGTCATTGTTTTTGTAAAATGTTGCTGACTCATCTTTCCGAGCCGCCGATGACAATAAGCCATTTCTAGTGCAAAGCTTTGAGTGCGACATCTTTAAGCTAACGTTTCTCTCACCAGCAGAACATGAAGAATGTTTTTATATTAATCAGTAACCACGCTGCATTCTGGGTAATGTCCAGACTCACATGTTTTTAAACTCGCCGCCACGTTTACTGGAAGTACATGGTAAAAAATTATGTGCCAGGTTGAATCATGGGTAATGATGTAAAAAGTGTAATATAAGAAAATAATCTTTAAACATTTGAATGTTTCTTTAGTTGGCTAAACTTAAGATTAAATGTCTCTTTTATCTTTGAACCAAAGCCCTCCGGCCCACGAAGAGAAATGTAATCTGGTTCATAAGAGTTTTATATGAAATGAAACTCTTTAACAATAAATATTATATTTGTAAGAACAGAGTTCTGCAGCCAGCCGTTGTTAACATATAGAATTAAATGAAGATTACAGTCTGACGTTTATTTGGTTTTCGATGTGGAAACAAACTGCGGTTGAGAACTGGCACATTATTTTTCACGTGTGTCAATAATCCGGCGCCGAGTGACGCAGACGGCGAGCGACCGCCGCGTGATCGACCAGATCGTTTCTGGACATTTTATAAAATCACATCCCTGTAACCCGGAGCTTTCTGTCCCAGCTGGGACACTGTTGCTATGGAGACGGCGATCAAGCACTGAAACGCTCTGATTGGATGATTCTCACAGCAGTGCACTCTGGGATATCTCTGCTGAAGCTTTTCAACTCACATGGCCACAAGAAAGTGTTGGCACACTTTATTCTCACTGGATCAATTTGTAGATTTTATTCTCAACAAGTTACGTTTATTTTTTATGAATAAACGAAAGAAGGGCAAATATTTTTTAAATTAAACGCAACAAAAAAGAAAAATGATCAATTGTTTACGTTTCATGATCAGATGAGTGTCCATTTACTTTTGGCCATGTGCTGTATTTATATTTAGCTCTGTAAATAGACTCAGTGTCCCATGATGCTTTGCAGCAGGACGTAGTGGGACAGGAAGCTCCAGAGCCGCTGGTGGACTCGTATCTTGTAATTGTAAACATCTTTTGTGTACATACTATAATCTGAACGTACGGATCTATATTCTGTGTGTGGCCTATCGTCGCTGTCAGAGCCAGCGTGGCCCCGCCCCTCCTCGGCCCTGATTGGCAGAGGAGTTTATTGATGTAAAGGGGCGGGGCCTGCTTTTATTTTTCTGAGACAGAGTCCGACATGTTCCACGTGTCGTTTACTGGAGAAATTAAAGGAAAAGCTATTTTTTAAGGACGAGTTTAGTTTTTGTTTGTTGGTGTAAATGTTCACACACACACACACACACACACACACACACTCTGGGAGGACGGTAATAAAATTATTTTGTTCTGAAGTCGGTCTGATTATTGATTCTTCCGTTTGTTTCTGTTTACTGTTGATTGATTCAGGTCCAAATCTTTGAATTAGCCGTTAGCACACAGAAGCTACAACCAGTGTGAATGTGCTTCTAGTGACTAAAAGCTCCAGCAGACAGCAGCTGCTCACGGCTCATCAGCTCAGATCACAGTTCCTGTGCACAAGTATGGATCTGATTTCATTTCAAGGTTGGATGAGAATGATCTGCTTCCTGTGTCTCCCACATGAGGTTTCTAAAAAAGTAAATTCTGAATTTATAAGAATCAGCTGGACTGTGTGTGTGTGCGCACTGCCACTCAACCTTTAAACTTTGTTTCTTTGTTTTCTAATTATTTATTGTTTGTTTACTGCTGTCTCATGGTTGCTGTCCTCAGATGATTCAGACAGAATCTGCTGACTCGTCCCTGATGATCTGATACCTGATCAATAACATAGCCTGGAGAGCTGACTACCACACACTCAACAGTATGATCAATATGATTTGTAAACATCAACAGGAAGCTGCTGCTCAGTCACAGCTACACTGAATGCATTCATTCTGATCAGTGTGTAATTATTGATTGATTATTGCCACTAGTCAGTAAATTATTGGCCCTACGGCTGGAAACAGTTCTACCATACATCATACACACAGACCAAGTAGGTTTTATAAAGGGTAGATCTTCAACTGATAACCTACGAAGGCTCTTACATTTAATGTGGTTGAACTCTTCCAGGTGCTGCACCTGTGGCTGCTGTTTCATTAGATGCTGAGAAGCCTTTGACAGGGTCGAGTGGGGTTTCTTGCACTCGGCCCTGTCGGAGTTTGGTTTTGGCACCAGTTTTAGCAAATGGATAAAAATAATGTATAACGCTCCCAAGGCAGCAGTCATGACAAATGGCGTGATTTCGTCATTTTTTTATCTTTCTAGAGGAACCCGACAAGGGTGTCCCCTTTCGCCACTCTTGTTTACGATCGCTTTGGAACCTTTGGCAATTGCCATAAGAGCAAACCCTTCCATTAGTGGAGTGATTGGTGGTGGTAGTGAGCACAAATTAATGCTTTATGCGGATGACATTCTTTTTCTGACCAGAGATCCTAAAAACGCCTGCGCTAATGAACACCATGTGTATACTCTAAGCTTTCAGGCTACCAGATTAACTGGACCAGATCTGAAGCGATGCCCATATCCAAACACTGCCATCCACAGGTAATAACACAACATAACTTTAGATGGATTACTAAAGGCAGGATCTACTTAGGTATTAAACTAAGCCCAGACCTACAGGAGATGACCACACTCAACTTTGATCCACTTCACCAAAACAAACCTGGGAAAGTGGGGGGGAAAAGACTCTGTGGGGTAAAGTAAATGTTGTTAAATGGCCCCACAATTCAACTACTTATCCATGATGATACCGCTCAGCATATCTGATCACATTTTTAAACAGTACGATAGTCTCATTAAAGACATTATATGGGCTGGAAGGAAACCCAGATTTAAGTTGAGCAAAATGTATGCACCCAAAGATAAAGGCGGGCTTGGTTTACCTGATGTTAGACTGTATAGCTGGTCATTTGAAATGGCCAAGATAGCTAAACTCTGCAGTGGGACTGGATGGTTTAGAATGGGATGCTATTGATAAGACTATTGCCATGCTATTCCACCCTATGTGTGTGATAACCCAGCAGTCAAAGGATAAACAGATTATAATCCAATTATTAAACACTCTAGGGAGGTTTGGGCAAAGGTTCATAAAATCCACAAGATCTCACATCACAAACAGCAATATGCCTCTTTGGTTAAACCCAGAAGTAAAAATAGGGAAACGAGAGAAGATGGTTAGACAATGGAATACACACAATAAGCAATCTCTATAAAGATGGTATAATTAAGTCATTTGCTGAATTAGCCCAAGAATACAATTTGCAAGAGAAGAGTGATTTTTGGAAATACTTGCAGGTTAGACATTGCTTAATGAAGAAGTGTCAACCGAATGAAACCAACAACCCAATAGTTGACTATCTCCAAAACCCACTTAACCATAAAGCATCAACATTCAATACTAATTCAATTTATTTAACCAGCAGCTCATGTGACAATTTGAGGTTAATCTGGCAGAGAGACCTTAATTGTCAGATTGATGAAGATACATGGAAACTAATTGTGGCTGATACTGGTAAATATATTAAGGAAACTAGAGGTAAATTCACTCAATCTAAAATTTTACACCGGTATTACTGGACACCATGTAGGCTTTTCAAAGTAGGACTAATAAGTACCAACACATGCTGGAATTGCAAGACAGAGATGGGCACATTCATACATCTCATATGGGAATGTTCTACGGCCAACCCAAGTTGTCGCAAAGTGTATTGAAATTCTTAGAGGCGTAAGTAGGAATATCATCGCCGTTATCCCCTCGTTTATGCCTTATGGGAGATAAAACAGAAATTCCAAAATTAGGGCGTTCATTCAGTGTTGATGGTGGGGACAACCTCAGCTGCCAGAATTATTCTGAGACACTGGAAAGCACCCACTATCCCAGCATTTAATGAGTGGAACAGCATCATGTGGGATTATGTTGGGGCAGGGGACCAGTGGTTCTAGGAAGCTGGGATTACTTTATGGACTACCTGACCTCTAACTAGTAGGCTGTTTGTTTGTTTGTCACACACACACACACACACACACACACACACACTCACAGAAAACAAACAAACAAAGGAGCTGAACAGGATGAAGAAAGCAGCGTCTCACCTCTCTGTGCTCACCCTCGTCTTCATCACTCGTACAGGAACGCTGAGTCAGTTTACTGGAGCACTGTGACATCACTGATGATGTCATCACCTGTCTCTCATTACACAGTATCTCTCTCTCTCTCTCTCTCTGTCTCTCTCTCTCTCTCTATCTGTCTCTCTCTGTCTGTCTCTCTCTCTCTTGCGTTCTCTCTCTC